AGTTTTGAAGCTTCTTTTCTTGTAAGCTTCTTCAACACATCTTCCCAGAGAACTGTCAGTTTCACAATGTATGTCAGCTTGGTTGTTGTGGACCACAGGGCTGACCAAGGTGTTGTAGCCACAAGGTCTAATGGAAACACAAGCTTTATAATTCAAGTCCACATCCATTTTCCAATTCCGAGCAATCTGCAGGGAACTTGTATCCTGTAAATATTTGATGCTCTGAAGGGTGGCCTGCTGGTATTATTAAAGTGATATAGGCATTTTTGTCTGCCGTTACTTGTGGAGGAGCATTTATGATGCTTCCAAGATTAATGCCAGCTGTCTGAGAACCTGGTTTCACTACCAAGTATAATTCCCTTGAGTGAAGCTAACCTAATATCCTGTGAGAATGTGCCTTAGTGATGCTGGTGCTTGACAGTAAGAGCAAGTATAATTTTCTCCTCACCACTGCTTCAGGTTCTGGGGTGTGGGTAGGAAGTCATGAGTGGCTCTGAAGGCAAAACAGCTGTGATCTCTCCATGTCCCAGATATCCCACTTATTGAGTTTCCTCTTTTCCAGGCTCTCCCAGTTAGTCCATTTGCCCTGCTAGGCTATTGAGACTGCCTTGGTGTATCACTCTGCCTCCTCCTGTCTTCTCACCTCCACCATGACAAGGTAATTCTGCACTAATGTTGCGTTAAGCCACCGAGGAGCTTTTAGAACAAGCCCAAGACTGGCTCTTCCATGTTTAACTAGGCCAACCACTTCCCTCAAGGGAAGAGCAGAGATACCACTCTGAGCTTTAGATGGAGTCTACTTCCTTCCTGTTGCCTCAATAAGGGACCCTGTTCGAAAAACAGGGCCTGAGTGTAATTCTCTCAGATCAACAGACATTTTTGTAACTGAACCTGTACAGTTCTAAAACATGGGTTTTTTCAAACATTGAAAATTCCAGACTGCACTTTCCTCTTATGTTGAGTGGATCTTCAGTGGAGGCTTCTGATATTATTAAAGGAGAACTATGAGATGAGTGCTTTTCACTCACCTCATAGTTCTAGCCGACCTGTGACAATGAGACTGTCACAGGTCGGCTCAGTAGATCGGGAGGTGAGGGAACACATACCGGCGTTCGCTCACCTCTCGATCCTGTCACAGCTCTCTGCCGTGACAGGGGAGGGGCTGGATTCCCCCCTCCCCGCTCCGATCCGCTAGCGCTGACTGGCGGAACGGACAGGGAGGGGGCGGGTACAGCTGGCTCTGCCTCTAGATAGGCAGTGCCAGCTGTCAGTCACGCAGCTGGGCGGATCCCGGCACAATTGTTGGGATCCGCTTCAGCTGCGGCGTCTCAGTATACCGCGAGCAGCTGCTGGCGGTATACTGCGGCATCTCAGTATACCGCAAGAAATATGGGGAAAAGACTTAACCCCATAGTTCTCCTTTAACATTTTCTATTAACAAAAAGGTGTCACGGGTCAGGAGGTAAAGCAGTGCAGCAAACACTTCCATTTGACCCCAACAAGTTCCCCCTGGGAGATTCCAAGTTGTTCTGAGGTCTAGTTTACACCAGGACATCCCAAAAAATTAAGTTACTAGGAACAGCTCCACCAGAAGCCTTCCAAAGGACCTCTGCTCAGAAGTGCTAAGAAACTCCTAAAGCCAGAGACAACCAGACCACTAGCCTTTTCAGTAGGATGCAGTAGTAGACTATATTTTCGTACATATTTATTTTAATTCAATCCAGCCTGGAACACTAAAAGAAGGTTTATAGAAGAAAAAAATTTGATGACACATACTAATGATTTGTTAAGAGTGTGTTGAAAATAACCTCTGGGAGATTAAAGTCTTCCCTGGAGTCACTAACCTGTAATATATTAAAACCTAGCTGCTGGTGGCCCACATTGTATCTAATTCATTATATGATTGGTCAATATGATTAATAAAAAAGGAGAAAAACATTGTGTGGAAGAACTCTGCCTCTACCCACGAAAGACGGCCCCATTCTATCTTTTCACTGAATTATCAAATAATATTTTAAACCAGCCAACTTTAACAGCCAGAGTTGACTGTGCCACCATTAATCATAATGCTGAATCTAACTCATCATGGCCTGGTAACTCCAATTTACAGGTCGATAAGTCTTGACTAAGCCCCTTTCTACTTTGTCAGCAGATCTACAAACTGCTGCAGGTCAATTTATAATTTATCTACAGCAGTTTTTTTGTTTGTTGTGGAACGTAAATAAGTATTGTTCACTGTGTACAGGCGCAGTTAACTGGAAGTTCTGATGAATTAAAATGACAGTAAAAAGAAACCGGTCAGCTTAAAACTGTGTTCTGTAACACACTTGGGAAACATATACATTTAAAACACAAGTGCAGTCAGATATAAAATACCTCAAACAAACCCAGGTATGTATTCATCTAAAGCCCTAAAGCCAATACTTTTTTTTTTTTAAAGGGTCCAACAGGAAGTCATGTTATTGAAAGCTGAATTCCAGCCAGATATAAAAGACACAAATTCATACAGCACTGTATTCACTAATATATAATCAACTGCATTGTTTTAAATACAAGCACAGTAAGTAACTGAATCGGTATCATCCTTCTGCAGTGCCCCGTACAGCATAGTGCAGACTGGGAGAGGGACGGGCAGTACAAGAAGCCAATCAGTGCAACGCATCCGGTGAGCGTGTAGACAATTTGGCTCGAAGGGTGTCTAGGAATGGTCGGTTGTCCAAGTTCGGGGAGTAGATTTTCCATAGGTCAATCGCGTGGGTGCCAATCTGAATGGACAAAAGGGACCACCTCCCAGCGGTTTGGTCGAATTGATGATGGATAACTTTGTGAGGCAAGGATTTGTGTAGGAGAGTAATTACTCCCGCGGATCGACCAGCAGCAGGGGATCCCAGGGCCGTACCCACCCAAGACTGCCGCATACGCTGGATGTCTTCCGCCTTTAGGTGCGTTTCCTGTAGGAATACAATATCCGCTTTCAGTTTCTTGAGGTGTCTTACAATTTGTCTCCTTTTGTTTGGTGAACGCAGTCCCTTAACGTTCCACGTTATTATTTTCAGGGGGGGTCCCATGAAGGCAGGGGGTGCATATGTAATAGGGAGAGCAAGGTGCAAGTTAAGGCGAAGTAGTCATCTTCGGACGTCCCAGTGCTTCCGAAGAGACCGTGTGGACCATAGTCAGACACGAAGGCCCCCGGGCTGCGATCCGCCATGGGAGGCATGACATCTAAGTATTTGTAGATTGGGGCCGCTGCACCTTGTAGTGGTACAGCCAGGGCAAGGATTGATTGTGGCTGCTCGTGGGCAAAAACAGAATAAAGACAACAACAAAAAAAACGTAAAAAAATCAAAGAGAGATCCACTCGTGAGGACATCCTTTTTTCCCGAATGCGGGCAACTGTGTTCAAACTTTATGTGGAGACCAGCCGGTGTCCACAGTGCAAAGTCCGTGTGACAGAGAACACTCAACATAAGCATTCCCCCCGTCCCGTCACGTCAGAAAACATCAGTGCATCAAGAGAATGTTGGAGGACTGTCTTAGTTTGGTCTGACCTCATGAGCACCATAGGTAGGTCACAGGTCAGAGGCTCCATCATCACCAATGAAGAAGTGGCAGATCGGGATCTGCTGATATAAATGCATCTGCAGCAGTTCCGTGAAATCAGGCTTTCTTTTTCCTGGGAGGGCTTTTAATCGGGGAGGCCAAAGGTTGATTCTCCCTGGACTCAAGGAATCTCATCGCTTGGGGGGCCGAGGTAAAGCGCCATTCTTTCCCATCTTCAGTGGAAAAGCGTAGGGTCGCTGGGTATTGGAGGGCGAATCTGATGCGCCTGTGCACCAAGATCTGGCACACCTCGTGGAACGATTTCCTTAATTTAGTAGTTTCAGCAGAGTAGTCAGCGAACAATAGTAGTTTAAGGCCATTGACCACAAGATTGCGTTGTGCACGGTACAAATTGAAGATAGTTTGCTTGTCATGATAGTCTAAGTATCTGACTAACACTGGCCGCGGCTTGTTGTCATCTTTGGGTGGGCCTAGTCTATGCGCCCTTTCCACGGAGCATATGTCAGGCTGGCCAAGTGCTTTAGGGATGAGTGTAGAGCAGAATGAGCGGAGTTCCTCCGGCTTAACTGACTCCGGGACCCCAATGACCCTCAGGTTGTTCCGTCTAGAGCGATTTTCCAGGTCATCAACCTTTTCCATCATTGCCTGCATCTGCTTGGAAACTGTAGTATATGAGCGCTGTGCTGCTGCAGCGTCGTCCTCTAAATCTCCCACCCTCTGTTCCACAGCGTTCAGCCTCTGCGACTGCGCTTCAATTGTGGCAGTTATCTTACCCATATGGATATGTAGCGTGTCTGCTATTATAGCAGATATGTCTGCTTTCAGATGTTGAGACACTGCAGAGGCCAGGGCTGAGTAGTCGATGGGGGAGGTAGGGAGAGTGGATGGCTGTGCCTCACTCACCACGTCTCCACGAGGCGGTTCCAGCTGCATCTCCTCTGACGCCATGTTGGGATTGGCAGGCTCATCAGCCGCCGGGTCTAAGAGGGCTCTCCTCGCCCTCTGCGGGCGTTCCACAAATTTGTCCATGGTGAGTAGACGTTCCGGTACTCGAGGGGCCGAAATTTCGGTCTCGGTGCGTCGAGGGAGTCAGTCGTTGAAGCGGTGACGGGACGAGGGACGGAGAGGAGCCGCTACAGCATCGGGCGCCGGAACCGGAAGTCGCTGTTCATTTTTAATTGTACTCTTGTACGCCCCCTTGGAGGGCTATACTTGTATTGCATTTGTTGATGTGTTATATACCAATAAAAATTATTTGCTAAAAAAAAAAAGAAGCCAATCAGTTATGATGGAGTGCTGTTCTGCTAACTAGGAATGTGCTGATAGAAGTAGATAGCAGAGTGACAGACAGAAGAAGCAGCAAGCTAATGAGCTCACCTATCACTGTCCAGCACTTGTGGAACTACCAGGGTCACAGCGGTCGCATGTGCAACCACGTCCTAGCGTTCCACCGCTTGGGGGATTCCAGAAAGGAAGAAGAGAACATAGCCCCAGTAACCACTGAGGCACTGTGGCAAGGGTGGGGAGGGGGGCTTCATGGTTTCCTGCAACGGGGCCCTGAGGTTTACAGTTACCGCTCTGCTGTCCACTCACAGGCTGTGAAAGGGACAAGACCTGTAAATGTTGATTAACTGCAGAAGAGGAAAATCAAGTCTTCTGCCCTGCCAGACAGGGCTGTGCTATGTGACAATCTTAGGACTGGATGGACAACAATACAAATAAAACACCTCAAATAAATGCATCTGCTTGGCATATTTAGCTGTTTGCCTGGAGTCCAGCTTTAATAAAATATAGTTCAATGGAGTAAGTATAAATCTTCTTATTGTACATAAACTTGGGATTCTTGGGACAGGTTCAAGATAGGAGCTGAATACCAATGCACTTACTGTATATTATTATTATTAGTAGTAGTAGTATTATTATGATTGTGATGATGATTATTATTATTATTATACAGGATTTATATAGCACCAAAAGTTTGTGCAGCTCTTTACAATATAAGAAAAACATTACAATGACAATACAATTCAAAACAAAATGGTAAGGAGGGCCCTGCCCCAAAGGCTTACAATCTAAAAGTATATGCTCCTTTCATAATTGTATCTTCATTTCACCCCCCATGAAGATTTTAGTTTTTAAATGATGTAACAAAAACAAAAAACCTGTCATTGCCATACAACCAAACAAGGTGATTTGAGAAGTTTACAGTGTAAGTAGAGGTATAGTTACACCCATGTTTACTGAATACAAGCTTATAGTAGATATGCCATGCATGAGAAATATAAAGATCAGATAAAGAGCTGGATTTGGTACCATGTTTATACAAGAAATAAATATGTGAATACAATCAATCTTCAAAAGAAGTAGGATTATGATTTTATTAGCGGTGTGACTTCATCCGGAAGGGAGAGGGGTGTAAAAAAACCATTAACTTCGGAAGAAAGATTTCACCGGATCTCAAAACTACTACAAGAAGCCCAATGGTGATTCCACTCACTAGTCCAACTATATCTGAAAAATACATGTTGGGTGGAATCACCCACATTTCAAGCTGCAATATTAACAATAGAAACCATACTACACTGTACTTCACAACTGGCTAATGTGTTGCTATTTCCCTAAGATGCCTTTATACAATAGATGTTCTTTCAGATATGACTCACAGCTTGATTTTTCACCATCTATACAGGGAAATTAGGTTCGTAGTTGAACTTTTAGCTGTCAAGCTTTGTCATCAATACACATTTATATAAGTTCTCTACAGAATGAATTTAATTCAATTACCTTTTTTTTCTCTCATTGATACACTCCATGTTCCACTTAGAATAAAATGATGCATTTACAGCGACAGACTAAATGTTCCTCAAAGAAAGTTGAGTCTTATGAAAGTGCAAGTTCTACCATTGTATTCAGCTTCGGGGACAGGCCAGTCCAGTAATGTCCTACTGCTATAGAAATCAAATATATGCTTTAAAGCTGAACTCCAGGCAATTCTAAAATACATAAATTAATGCAGTTCTCTATCCACTGATACATAATGAAATATATTATTTTAAAGCAGAACTCCTTTGGCTCTTCAATAATGTTTAGCATTTGCTCATTTTTTTGTATGACATCTCAATGTTTGCAAATAAACACTGAATACAAGGTACAGTCACTACAATCAGACTGTGGCGTGCATGGCCAGTTTTAATCTGGTAAGGGCCTAACCTCTTACTACACTGAGGAATTCAATGGAGCATTTAAAGTCTATGTATAGCTATTTTTTCCTTTTGCATAGAGTAGGGAGAGGTTAACCCCCCCATGTTATTGTTTGCAGTCTGTGTCCCACTATGGAGATTTACCTTTGCTTCCTGTTCCAAAGATACAAAGGAAAATAAGGAGGACATGGGGACATTTGTCCTCATTGATTATTAACCTCCACCATTTGCTCTGATTTTCCATCACTTCTTGCTTCTGTAACAGTGATAACCAGAACAATAAAGGGATGAACCTTCCCAGCATGGACACATGCTATCCAAAACAAAAGTAATTAAAAAATTTAGCTAATTTAGCTTTAACATAACCCGTAATATAATCAAGTCTAACCGAATCTAATACAGCTGCATTAGACATGAGGAGGCCGAGGAACATTCAACTGCCACAGAAGAGGGGAGAGAGGTGAACGGTTGCAACTGCAGGACCGAGAATCAGGTGAATATATTTTCTTTATTTAAGCTCCTAATCCAAAATAAGCAGTTAACCCTTGCAGTACAGGGTTAACTGCAAGGGTTCATTTTTAGATTGCCTGGAGTTTTTCTTTTAATTTAAAAATCAGGGACACTTCAATGCAAAAGAAGAACAAATGACGGCTCCCAGAGGTTGAATGACTGCCTCAATCTGATGAAACCATTGCTTGGTATCTTGTGACTACATTATTCCCTTTCCAGCCGTCATTGAGGAAATGGCACCACACATAACTGTTATAGATAAGATGACATCTCTATTCTAACCACATAAAGTGAACAAAAAATGGATTTTGCTATAAATGTAACACCAGTTGTACAACGGGTGAAGGAGGTACATTTCAAAGTGATCTTTAACTTGACTGGAACACTATAATGTCCCTCCAAAGACTACTGTCGCGAATTGCATCAGTTCCAGACCATAAACCAGAAGAATGATAAAATTTTAAAAAAGTGTTACCTCATTTGTCAGAACACACTTTTTGGCCCAGAGAGTTATTTTCAATTGCAAGGGATAGTGTTATATTTGTGTGACTATATTAATGTCAAAACAGAAGTGTATGGGGGAAATTCAAGGACACACAGCATTGTAGATTGCACAGGACAAAAGGGTGGATTGCATTTATACCACAGACATCTAATCTAAAACAATTTCAGAACTGGGGAACTGCACAGATTTATTGATGTAATAAAACAAGTAGTGTTAATCTATTTGTAAATGCTCGTATATATTTTTAAACAAGGAGAAAAACCAGAGGTTACAATTTCACAACTGAGTCTACTTCCAAGGCGACTGACATTTTTAAAAATGATTCCTACAAAATCCGTACATGTAAAAATATGGCAGAGAAAATTACATACCTCATGTATGTACCTAACCAAAAATTGTAAGGCTTATTAAACCCTCAATTATGTAAAAAAAAAAGCTTTGAAAAGGGTAAATACTTACATGTGTCCCCGCGCGCTCCCGTCCGAAAATGTGAAAATTCTCGCATCTTGGGGCGGGCGCATGGGCAGTTCACATTTTCGGCCTGGACGCGAGGAGAGACACAAGGTAAGTCTATGAACGCGTTCACCCGCATGCAGACAGCATGGGACAGGAAATGCCAGCAAGCTCAGAGTAGTCAGCGCTGGATCGGAGACCCGCCGAAGCGCTGGAGGGACAGATGAAAAGGACAGGAAAGAAGAAGATGATCGGATTAAGAAACACCCTTTGAGGTAAGTGCTTTAATTAACATTGGGGGAGGGGAAATATTTTGGACTTGAATGTCACTTTAAGTGGAACTCCATTCTTTGTTTTCTTGTTTTGTTTTAGACTGAAGTGTTGATTTACTAAGGGAATAGAGGCGGTCTAGTGCATTTTCAATTAGCTTAGTACAGGAGCTGAGACTGTGCTCACTCTCAATACCCAATCATGTGCAAGGAAAATGAAAAAAAAAAACAGAATGTTTGCTCGCAAATGATAGGATGATTAAAATGACACTAAACACATTCAAGTACCCTAACTGTTAACAAAAATGTATCTTATTTGTGTATCACTCTGTCCTTCCTTCGTGAGGGTGGCTACTTTTGTTCCCCATGTTCCCTGTGTGTGTTGTAAAGTAGTCACCGTTTCAAGCTTGCTCCTGTAATGGACTACAATCTCAGTACTAATTAGTAAACTAAAGATGAGATTGTAGTCTATCATGGGAGTGCGCTTGGTGCGGTGACTACTTTACAACACACACAGGGACCATGGAGAACAAAAGTAGCCCCTCTCCAGAAGGAAGGACAGTGTCAGCACCAATTCAGAGATGATTTGAGGATCTATAATCGAATGATACACAAATCAGATAGATTTTTAGAAATACAGGGTAAATCTTCCAATGGGGGCACTTTTTCCAGTTACAATTAAGAGGGGAGTTCCCTCAATTAAGAGAAACTTTTTCCTCACTTCCTGTTGTGTCTACACAACAGGAACTGTAGGGAAATCTCCCCAAAGTAATACAGATGGGAAAAAAATCTGGAAGGGGTTTAAAGCCCATTCCCACCTTTGTAAGTGATTAACATTTATTGTGGTAATGTAGAAGTACAGTGATGACTCACATTGGTGGCTTTCCTAAATTTTATGGACTTTAAAGAAGGCCTAAGTCCTACAAATTGAGCATTTTCATCACAGAAAACTCAATCTGACACTGGGGTTGGATTGTAAAACAGCTGACCCCCTCTCTGTGAGTCAATGTAACAAGAGCAGTGCACACCAGCTCTGCACTTCCAGGTCACAATACACTGTCCGAGGGGGTTGGGGTTGCCACTATGAATACTAATGAATAGTGGGAGAGAGCTCAGAGAGAGAGAGAGAGAGAGAGAGTTTTAATTTACACAGACTGCTTGTAGAGCACTAAGGCAGCCATTTCAAAAGGAGCCATGAGGAGATGAAGAGGACAATATTCCATATACTTATATATAGTTTATATAGAGCAACTGCTTTTTCTAATTCATGTACACTTGGTGTACATTGCTGGCATATTTATTTATTTTTTAATACCTCCACAAAGGTGGAAATGGGCTTTAAGCCATTTCCTACTCTATTTAGAATGATTAAAACAATAAGTTTACAGTCTGACTCAGCATCTATAAAAGAATATAAATGTGGTATTTGCAAGAAGAAACAAATAAAACATGTATGAATAGATAAAATACCTGTTACAAGCTACCTGAAAAAGTGTTGATTTGTATTTAATCACTCAAATGTTTGCTTTGACATATTCCAAATCTCCTGATTGTCTACCACAATCACTGAAGTGTATAGCACCCATGGTGGCTTGTATAGCAAAGCA